CCACCAGAACAAAAAGGGAGGGGGGGATAAAGGGTCCCCTTGACGAAGGCCGCGGGTAGAGGGGAAAAAGGTCGTGGGGCTACCATTAATCAAAACGGAGAATGTGCAGTGTTCCACACACGCTACCATTTATCTTAATTTTGTTAATCGTTATTGATTTGCTTGTATTTTTTTTTTCTTTTTTAGGTATTTTCTTAAGTTTTTCGTCCACCTAATCGTTTGTCGCGTGTTTGATTTTATTTTACTTTTTCGGTGTTCTTTTGTTTTTCCTGTTTTCGTGTGTTTTCTCGTTTTTTAAGGCATGCAGGTTCAGAACCTCAAGAATCTCTTCCAACCCCCTTTAGCCCAAACGCGCGGGAACCAACTATTTGCATCGTGTAGAACCCGAGCAACGTACGTGCAGAACCCTCACGCGCGCAACAATCTCCGCACCTCATCGACCGCACATGCCCACACCAGCACTCAGGCCTCGTGCAGCGACATCGCGAGAGCGTCGCACGGGTGTCTCGCGCGCGACAATCCTTACAACCGAACATAGACTGCAAGCTTTCCCGACAACGACTCTATTTTGTTGTAGTTTTTAGATTCAAATGAATGAATCCCCAGGTCTTATAGCAAGGAAAGCTAGTCAGATTATTTCGTACGATTATTCAAGCACAAAAAAAGAGAAAATAAATTGTAAATGCTCTAATCAAGTTGGTTAGGTTTTGTTTAGCAACTAATGATTCCAAACAATGCAAAAACTCAATTATCAACCTTCGAACAACTTAAGGATATCGATAGAGAAGCTAAGAAGTCGGGTGTAATCGTTCCTAATTCAAAACGTAAATATCAAACAATGACCGTTCGGTCAATTTATTCTATTAACCTACATGTCTAGAGATTCAACCTACATTTTTCTTAATTTGGATTAAATTATTGGTTCGCAAATATAAACTCCGTTGGAGGTTCACTTTTCTCTTCCAAGGAATATTGTCCAATAAAAACTTAGTTCCAATTCCTTAATGTTGCTGAATAAGATGGGAACAAACATTCTATGCAACAAACTGGGACAAGCAATCTATGCAACTTGGACAAACAACCTTTAACCAGCACATGGTACACTAGTCAGCAAACTAACTAATTGGCGAACACCAATACTTGCAAGAACGGAGGTCAAAAGAACCTAATCCAAATATAAGTGTGTTATGAAATCAAATTGATTTGAGTAGAATTTCCCCTAGCACATTAGTCAGCGTATATACACTGCAAGATGAGGAAACCAACGCTAGAGATAGGGTACCAGAAAGAGGCTGGGCTACCGAAAAATAATGTCTGGCTAGTAAAGAAAGAGGCCAAGAGTCTAGCTAGAACTGTTCATGACCAATGAACCAATTCCCTGAGATTCTTTATGGCCTAGATTGAGGGTCTGTGTAAACATACTTGAAAAGAAAGAGAATAAAGCATCCAAGATATGACATTTTTTAACAAACAGTCTCAACTTCACTAATTCTGAAGACGGGGAAGTGTGCTTGCCAAAAACTTCCACAAATGGATTATGTTTAACCAATGCGTGTACCCAAAAAAACGAGAAAACCAACCTTAACGTTTGGGAACCAGGGAATGCCTAAGTAATAATCCGCAACGATTGAATAAAGTCAGAAAATTTGAATATTAACAAAATCGATAACTAGTAAAAGAATAAAAATTCAAGAAACAAAGTTTTCCAAACATTATTATGTTTGTAAGAAGAAACGCTGAAAGAAAACAACTCAACAATACAAAACAAGGGACACGGAACGACAAGTATGTTATCAAGAACAACAACACTCAAAACACAAAACAGAACATGACTAATAACAAAAGCAACATACACACTTTCTAACAGAAGAACAGAAATCCAAATCAAACTTAAGCAGCCACCATTTCAAATTTTCCTTCAGTCTTAAATAGTTATATTAGGAAAAGGAAGGAAAAACGATAAGTTCACGGGAAAGGAACAAAAAAAGTCGGATCTCTCACTTGGCCATCATGACCTTGACGAACTCTTCATAGTTGATCTGCCCGTCACCATCCACGTCAGCCTCGCGGATCATCTCGTCAACCTCCTCGTCGGTCAGCTTCTCCCCTAGATTTGTCATCACATGCCTAAGCTCAGCTGCCGAGATAAACCCATTCTGATCCTTATCAAAAACCCGGAAAGCCTCCTTGAGCTCCTCTTCCGAGTCGGTGTCCTTCATCTTGCGAGCCATCAGGTTGAGGAACTCCGGGAAGTCTATGGTCCCATTTCCGTCAGCATCAACTTCGTTGATCATGTCCTGGAGCTCAGCCTCCGTGGGATTCTGCCCCAGGGAACGCATCACGGTCCCCAGCTCCTTGGTCGTGATGCAACCTGTTTCAATGAATCCAACAACAGATTTGAGAAATAAGGTTTAAAATTAATAGCACTCACCAAGCAAAAAATCAACTTCAATAAAAATAACATGCGTAAAACAATGGCAGAAAACAAGAAAAATCCAGTGCTCAGACTAATACATAAAGAGATATTTTAGTATAATTCAATAAAGGGAAGCCACTAAAGCAAACACGTCACACAATCAAAGTCTATCAGGTAAGTGTCGATGTGCTCCAAAACCACGTAATTTGTTTACTGGTAGTAATCTAATAATGCCTGGTAGATTACTGGTAGTACAACAACAACAACATACCCAGTATATTCTCAACTGGTTGGGGTCTGAGGGGTCAGTTGTACGTAGACCTTACCTTTGTAATTATAGAATGTGGCTGTTTCCGTAGCGACCCAAAGCGCATTGCGTCGTTTGATATATATTTTGTAGAAACTTCACTAATAGAAGAAGCACTATAATTTAATTGAGCCATTTTGATCTAGTCCAAAGTCCATTATTAGCACAACATCAGCAACTGTGGCAGAGATAAACCGAAAAAAATCTACCACTACAGGCAGCGAGACAGTGTAATCCATGATGAACTACAGAAAACACAACATCAATTACGGATCAAGCATAACAGTGACAAAAAAGGCGAAAACAAGAATCAGGAGTAGCTCGACAATAGACCAATAAGCCATAAAAGAGTCACCAGATCTACGCGAATAACAGACAGATCAAAGCATAAAACAGCATCAACATATTAAAAGTTTGCAAATTGAATTAAGCTCTGACCATCGCCATCCTTATCGAATAGAGAGAATGCTTCTTTGAACTCGGAGATCTGATCGTCGGTCAGCTGATCCGCCATTCTCTATTTTCCTCGGAAGCTTTTTCTTCTCTCGACGTCGAAGGCAAATGCTACAAAAATCAACGAGAGCTGCGTGATCCCTATGCGAATAATGGTGTGAGAGTGGTCAACGTAGAAAATGAAGGGGAAGTGTGGGGCTGCTATATAATTTCGGAATAGGGAATGGTGGGCTTTCGTTTTTCTCTTTTCTTCATTTTTTTTTTTTCTCTTTTCTTCATTTATCATTTACTTTTTGGTGCAGCGGACTGTTTGGCGACTCTAGCTCACCAATGTCCGAGCGGTTATCAACAGCTCCTAGATCCACCGTCGTCAGTTAAACCGTGGTTACAGCATGACCTTATTGGGATTGCATACCCGCGGCGTATAACTGTCTAACGGTCTTAGGCTTTTGCCTCCTTCTTTGTACCAAAAAAAAAGTATATATTCTTTATTATTTAGGCTACTAAATTTATAGCTTATAATTTTTTAAATCAATTTCGAGTTTATAGTTGATAAGTTATGACTTAAAAACTAATTTATATGATAAAGCTGTTTGATAAAATTAGTTGCTAAATTAATTGAAATAAAAATTTCAATTGTCTTATTTGAAAAGCTAGTCAAAGAAGCTTATAAGATAATCCCGAAATTAAAAAAAAAAAAAATCTCATTCCAAACAAGATTATTTGAATATAGGAACCTTATAAGCTAATTGAATAAGTTATAAACTATCTTATATGTTTACTGAACCCAGTTACTCAGCCACTTTTCTTGATTCTTTATTCCTCTTCCGCATAATGTGTATTTTAAGAACATTACTTTTAGTAATTACACCGTTCAGTTGAAACTTGATGTCGTGCAACTTATTTCAACAATGAGTCATATATAATAAGACTAGTGTCATACACAAAATAATAATGATAAATCGAATAAATTAAGTTAGAGTAACAAATAACATTAAAATAGTTTTGAATATCAATATTTATACTTATATTTCATTTTATTTCTATAATGTATAATATTTTATAATATGATTTATATGCGTAATTCACTCATTATAAAATAATTGTAATTTTAGTGTTCATGTTTCGAATAAAAAATCATGAAATTTTACATATTCAATCATTAACAATAATATAATACTATAACACTCAGAAAAGTAATTTTATCTCTTCATTTACATACCTTATTATAATATATGTAGCCCATATAATGCATAAGAAATAATAGTAACTTTTATAAATTAAAGCAGTGAAAAAATATCATTTAGTATAAAAATAATTGTGAATATTAATATTAATTTTATCTTTTCTTTTATTTTTATGACATATAATAGTTTGATATATAATTTATATGTGTGATTTTTTTTCTTTTTGAAATATTTATATGTGTATTTCAATCGTTATAAAATTGTTGTCATTTTAAAGTTCATGTATACAATAACATAAAAATTTAACATATTTAAATATTATCAATAAATAGTACTCACAAAAACACTGCACTGTTTTTCCCTTACCCATAACTTTTTTATTTCAAGTTTTAAACAAGTGAAAAGTGGAAAAATTGTGGCAAAAAATTAACAAACACTAATTTTAAAAGAATTTAGTTTATATGATTTTAGAGTTATAAAGTTTACTAATTTTAATTATGTTAAAACTATTTTATTTAAATTTTTATATTTTGTAATAATGTACGTTGTTGTGTCACGAATTATTGAACCGCTCGATTGTTCCTCCCCAAACCGATTTACGCTTCCTTGATCGCCGATACCTGCAAAACACACCGGGGGTGGTCCCGGCATAAACACTCTGACGCTCAAGTCGGTAGGGTTTTAAGAGAAAAGAACGAGATATTTAGAAAAATATTCTGCATGCTTTAGAAACAAAAGAACATGTCCCTTATATACTTAGGAGTCCCATCATGGTAGGATCCTATGCCACACAGAATCCCTCCTCCAAACGTCTCTTTGCAAGCATATCAAAACTTATCTTTAGACATCCAGAAATCCCAATTTTGTAGGGGTCTTATTACCTCGGCTCCCCTGCCCTAGGTAGCTCGGCTATCGTCCTCCGAGCTTTACCCCCCAATAACGTCGAGCTATTTCCAGGAAGCCCCCCAGTTACTACTTGGTGCGTGAGCCGAGCTCATCCTTAACCCCTACCAGCTCATGCTATAATAACAGGAGTCTTTGAGGCCAGCTCGGCCGGGCGGACCTTGAAGCCAGCTCGGCCAAGCAGACCCGCGCGATTATCCTGCAATCGTTCTAAGTGCTATATCATCTAGCCCCCAGTTTTCAGGACGAGCTACTTTCAGATTGGCCAGAAAAAATACCAAAATATTAAAATACAGCGAGTGTGAACCACGCTTCTGCTCGTACACGCACCATATGACCGTCTTTGTCGGTTTTCATGAACTTGAAACGACATTGACAAGATTCTAGACACATCATTACTGAACCCCGGCGTCATGATGAATATTCATCAAATCCCGACCATGGCATCATCTATATCACACGTGGCACCATAATCAACGGTCACGTTCAGTCAACCTCTTTTCCCAATAACTCTTCGCGCACACGCCTCCCATCTGGACCATTGATCATGTTACTAAATTAGATGACCACAATTAGCCGACTTTTGCCATGCCCATTGCCATATAAATACCAAAGACCTGCATCTTCTTTCCTTTTCACCTTGATCACAAATCTCTGCAGCTTCTATCACATCTTCTTTTCCGACGAACTTCCAGCAAACATCAACCACTACTAACTTCGATCATGTCTTTCTTTGGTAAGTAATCTCATCTTTTTCAAAATTAATTGTCGCATATCCTACTAATTTCTTACTAATATATTCGTGTTGTATGCCCTATCACCATTAGAACACCTCGTCTCTCCGACTAACTCGAATTCCCACATCCCTTCAAACTCAGAACCCCAAGGCAAGCCATCAGTGACCATAGCTTCTGCAGGGATGACTCCGATGTCGGTTGTCGCCAGTAATAAGAGCAACGCCGTAGCTCCTATCATTAGATCGACTCCTCTTAACCCCCTCACCCCGTATTCCACAGATAGGATTGCCCGAATCTCTTAGGAGATCGAGCTTCCGCGGGGATGGACGCTCAAGGTCCCTCGCTCTGGGAACACAAATACTAACCCTCCCCACAGACGGCGCCAATTTGTTGTGTCATGATTATCGAACCGCTCGATTGTTCCTCCCAAAACTAGTTTACGCCTCCTTGACCGCCGGTACCTGCAAAACACGTCGGGGGTGGTCTCGGCGTAAACACTCCGACGCTCAAGTCAGTAGGGTTTTAAGATAAAAGAACGAGATATTTAGAAAATTATTCTGCATGCTTTAAAACATGTCTCTTATATACTTAGGAGTCTCATCATGGTAGGATTCTAAGTCACACAAAATCCCTCCTCCAACCGTCTCTTTTTAATCATATCAAAACTTATCTTTAGACGTCTAGGAATCCCAATTTCGCAGGGGTCTTATCATCTCGGCTCCCCTGCCCTTGGTAGCTCGGCTATCGTCCTCCGATGTTTACTCTCCAATAACGTCGAGCTACTCATTAGTTCATCATTATAATTTATAACAATACATATTATGAATTTTTTTTTTTTTTATAAGTTAATAGTTTACATGGATAGTTTGACACATGATGCATTGTTTTATCTTCACAATTTACAACAACATATATTATAAATATTTTAAATTTTTCTCTCTAATATAATTTACATGAAAAATTTAATGAATTAATCATTGGTGTATCAAAATTTATAACAATACAATAATAAATATTTTTAATAATTTATGATCTAATAATTACATGGAAGTCCAACAAATGCCCCTTTTTAACATTTTATTAAAGATTATACTCGATCCACGAAATAATATTTACTTATAATTTGTACTTCTTTATCATTATTTTTTTTAAACTCAGGAGTGATTGTTTGTCCTATTTTTGTGTCGTTTTTAGTCATTATTTTACCATTTTTTTTCCCACGTATTGAGTCGTTTAGGTGGTTGTAGGATCTTTTTGTCATATATTATGTGTTTCGCGTTCATTTGAGTATTGCGGTGTTTTCCATTTGTTTTTCGGTCTTTTTCTGTTATCTTTTCGTTTTTGGTGCGTAGTTTGGATTCCTCGGGAGAACAGGTTTTTGAGAATCTTTTGGGAAAGCTGACACTATTAGAAATAGGGGCTCGTTAGCGACGCGTAGAAAAAAACAGAACTCAATTCCGAGTTTGGACGAGCCCAAACGAGCCAAAAACGCAAAGTTGCGCTGCCCAAACACCTTAGCGGCGCTATGAAGTGTTAGCGATGCCAGAGGCTACCAGCTTTCATTCCTTAGTGCCGCTAATCTTAGCGCCGCTAAGGCCCCCTGCAAGTCCCAAAATGGTATAAAAACCCCCAAAACTTATTTCTTCTCCATTCTTTCACTTCCAGCTTGAAGGGGGAGGAACCCTAGGTCCGAAAATCGCCTTTCCCCTTCACTTTCCTCCATATTCTCCTTCCCTTTTTCTTCTTCTCTTCTCCTCTTCTCCATCTTTCTTCTCCATTTTTCTTTCTTTTTTCTTCCTTTTCCATTTTAGGGATTAAGCTTGTATTGTGGATTCAACACTTGGATTGAGATTAATTGTAAGTTTTTCTTCTTGTTTAATCCATGGAAATGGTTGAATTTGGAGAAATGATTAATTGTGTTGGATTGATTTTATGTAGCTAATTCTTATTGCTCGAGATATGGGATGATTATTCTTGTTTAATTCGTATCTCTCGGGCTTGAATTGTTCATTCTTGTGTGGGTTGAATTGATTAGGAATTGATGAATTTGTGCTTGATTGATTGATATAATCGAAGGGTGGCACTTCGATCTTGTGATTGGGAACAATTGAATGTTAATTTGTCAAGTTAGGATTTGTCAATTTCATATGATTAGTTGATTAAACACCTTCTAGTTAAATTAGCGACTTTCAGAACCGAAAGGTAAGAAGTCGTAGACCTAGGCTCACATGAGG